CAGGGACGCTCACCACCCGCCTCCGCGGACGGCCTTCCCGCTGCCCGGTCCTTGGCGGGCACCGGCGCCTGGCCTGGCCTCCGGGGCCCCCGGGCTGCGGCCCAGCTCAGGGGAGGGTCACCGCGCCGGCGGAGATGTGGGCAACCCGACGCGGCGCTGCCCTGCGGGGTCCCCAGCCTCGCGGTGCGACACTTTGCAGAAGAGAAGGAGCATGGAGCCCTCTACTGAGCCCCACCCCTTCTAGGCTCTCACCCTCTGGGGAGACCCCCCTCCTCACTGAGTACCCTCCTTATCCCTCAGTCCCGTCATTGACCCCCTCCTCAGCGCACCCCCCATTGGTCCCTGCGCCCCTTAACCCTACTGTCCTATCCCATGTCCCTGCCTCCGTTTCCCTGAGCCCTTTCCCCTGCGCTTAGCTCCCCCTGGCTGAGCCCCTACTGACATCTGTCCTTCCCTACTCGGCTGTCCTGGTCCATGAGCCCCTCCCCCGCCCTGAGCGCCTCCCTTCCCCCATTTCTCTCTCCTCCTCCTGGCCTCAGTCGCTGAAATACTCACAGCCCCTGCTCGCTCTCCCTCTGCAGCCTCGGCTGCCCGGCTGTCCTCATCGATCACAGCCCAGAGGTGGAGGGTGTGGGCCTCCCATGCTCCCCATCCACCTTGCAGAGTTCTCCCCATCAGAGCCCCCGCCATCCTCTGCCACAGATGTTTACTCCCTGCCCGCCCTTCTCAGAGTGTTTTTTTTTTTTTTTTCCTGGAGGCAGCTGGGCTTAAGGAGAGAGCACGAACTCTGAAGCCCCAGACGAGTCCTCCCTCATCATGCACTGTCCCTGAGTCGCTGTGTGACCTGGAACCTGTCATGCCCTCTCTGAGCCTCTTCTTCAAGATGGGAGTGATGACTATGTTACAGGCTGTTGGGAGAAGTCTCTGAGGAAATGGGGGCTGCGCAGCTTTTTTTATTGAGCAAGCCCAGAAGTGACCCTCCAGGGCCCGGCAATGGGGTAACAGGCTCCAGGGTGGTGGTCCCCCCTTGCATTTTTTATCCATGCTGGCTCAGACAGTGTCCCTCCCGAGGGAGGCTCAGCCCTGGTCTCACAGCAGAACTCCCCTCACTCCTGGGTGCCATTCACTGGCTCACTCCTCTGCCAAGTGTGAGGGAGGCCAGGGCTTGGAGCTTTGAGAACATAAGCTTTGGATTCACACAGGCAGGTTTGAATCTAGGCACGACCAAGCTCACCCAGCCTTGAGGTCCTTATCTACACAACGAGGAGAATATCCCAGCTTAGAGGACAGGATGAAGAAAGATTCTGTCAGTGAAGCCCCTAACACAAAGCCTGGCCTGAGGTGTTGTCCCACATGTAGTAGACATCGTTAGACAGAGGGGCCTCTGTGGGCATTTACACACCAACACCTCCAGCACCTCTTCCAGGGAGGAGAGAGGCTGCAACCATGGAAAAGAGACAGAGTGAAGGGAAGCAGGCCACAGTACAGGGAAAAAGAAGAATTTTCAGGGACGAATCTCTAGCAGAAAACCCACTAATTGATTCTTTTAAGACTCATTTTGTATTTAAAAAAAAAAAAAAGACTGTAACCCAAATATGACAGGGTTAGCTAGCCTTGAGGCCAATCTTAAGAATGTCATTTAGTTTTCAAACACCAGTGTGGCCCTGAGAGCCTTGAAGTCACACGGTAGTGGGGAGGTTTTTCTGCGATGGCAGAGGAGAGGCTAATGTCATCCTCTGTCCTTGCAGGGCCAAACACCCCCACATCCCTTCATTCAAACCTCTCTTCCTGAGGCCGGTGGCCTCCTACCTCCTGTCTCTGAAATCTCCAACGCCCTCAGCCTGCCCAGCCCTTATCCTCCCAGGCCCATCGCCCCCTACACAGCTCTTCAGCCACACAAATGCCTGACACATAAAACATAGTCTTTAGCAAAAGTTAAGGGCACCTCAAGTATTGTGTGGTGAGCCTGTACAAGGAGAGAGCTTCAATTGATCCTGACACAGAAATGGTGAAGGTTATTTACAGAATAAAATAGCTCAGTTTGGGTATTGTCTTCTGCAGGTCCTTTCCTGCCTTCTAACTTCCCAGCCAGGTTAGCCGTGGAGTCCAGGCCCTCACTGAGGCCCCTCCCTTACGGAATCCTCCCCTCCTGTTCCTTCTTCCCCTCACTTTGCCCCCCTTATTCTGCTGGCTGCACCCCTGTAGGCATCTTTCCCTCCTCTGTCCCGGGAACGGAGTTGCCCACCCTCCTTTAGCTGCTCCCCACCCACCAATCCTCCCTCTCCAAAAGGTTCTCTGTCATTCTCCTGTCCCTTCTGGAAGGTTCATCTGGGATCTTGTCTGCTGGGAGCATTGAAAGATAGGCATGGGGTATGAGTAGCAGGCTCAGGGAGAAGCATGAGGTCTCAGACCTTCTGATAAAACTTGCTCTGGGAGTTTCAGGAATAAAAACAGGCCTATGGTTGCATCCTCTCTTGCTGGCTTTTGCTGCTGGTATCACTACATCTGCTTTGTGGGCTCTCCCAGGGCTAGAACCCTGGGTTCTCCTATCCTGCTTCTCCTGGATGATACTGTCACTAAGAATAATGTTCTGTAATGTTTAAGTAGCTCTCCGCAGTTCACAATACCATTCTTAGCCACTACCTGATTTAGAGAAATTGACCTTCCCGGTTCATTTTACAGATAAGAAAACTGAGGCCAGAGAAGGAAAGGAACATCCTCTATAGTGTTGGGACCTTTGAGCAAAGCGTATAAGGTTGCCTCTGCAACTGGCTTTGAGAATTCCTGTGCAAACAGGACAGGCTTTGAGTTTGCTGGCAGACCTTCCCTGCCGTAGACGTTAGCCAAAGCTGGGTCCCTCTACTCAGTCATCCCCTCCCTACGTTATAGATACAGCTGTGGGTTGTGTGCTCAGTTCTAGATTTGTTTAATGTTTTAAGCTCTTAAATTCATGTTTGTTATTGTGTCTGTGGGGTAGGCTGGGGAGGCGTTACCCCACCGTGAAAACAAACTGAGTCCCACAGAGCTGACCAAAGCTGGCCCAGACAGAGTCTGCTGCAGAGGGACAAAGAACGTATCAAGGTGGAACGTGGAGCACTGCAGAGGACCCATGTTGGACCAAACACCATGGGCAGGGCTCCGGCTTGGGTAAAGACTGCCCATCACAAGCTCTTCCTCATGCCAGAAATCTTGCTAATTAACTGGTGCTGTTTCCCATTAGCCAGGAGCATAATGGCCAGTTGACAGATGAATGAGTCTAGATAGAGAGGGAGGGAATTCCAGGCAAAGGGTCTGCCCTCTGCTCATTCACTCAGCCAGCCCTGCCAGGGGCCTTGGGCGGGGCGGTGGTGGTAGCAACAGGGACGACTCAGGCCTGATGCTTTTCCTCTAGCTCCTCACAGTGCAGGGCAAAACTACGACATGGTGCATATTATGATAATTACAAACCCAGGTGCCAAGTAGTGTTCTGAGCACTTGACATGTATTTATCTCATTTAATCATTTAATGCTCAGAACAAGCCTATGATGTGGGAACCGTCGTTAATATTCTCATCTTTTACACAAAATAATGAGGCACAGAGAGGTCACACTATGCATAAAATTTGGTAATAAGAGAAAAAAAAGACTGGAATTTGCTCACTATGTTTGTCTTAGGAAGTAACTTATGGGTATTGTTTTTCATAAATTCTCTCTCTCAAACATTTTGTTATATTATATAACAATGAAAACAATTATTCTTAAAAGTTATTTATCGGACTGGGGGAAAAAAAAAAAGAATTGATGGTAGCCATGAGAAGTAGAGAAAACATGTGCTCCAGAGAGAAGAGTTTACTTTTTTTTTTTTTCCTTTTTGTCTTTTTTCGTGACCGGCAACGGATCGCAACCCTCAGTGTCGCGCCCGTACCGGACCGGGACCGGCAACGGGATCGCAACCCTCGGTGCTGCGCCCGCGCCCCGCTCAGCCAGTGAGCGGGAACCGGTCTGTATGTGGGATCCGAACCCTCGGTGGGAGCGTCGCCGCACTCCCAAGCGGTGCACTGTAGCAGTGCGCCACCAGGCCGGCCCCGAGAAGAGTTTACTTTTATCCCAGAGAGATAAACAGTGATTTTTAGAGGTGGCCTTGAATGATGGCAGATTTGAACCTGTGTGGAAGGAGCTATGGTATGTCAGGTTGAGGACCCAGTTTGAGCAAAGGCTAGTAATGGGAACATGCAGGACATAGCAATCAGGTCAGGCTAGCTGCTGCATGATGCTGAGATTGGGAGGCTGGCTGGGTCCAGAGTGTGAAGAGCCTTGAATGCCAGGCAAAGGAGTCCAGACTTGATCTTATAGATACTGGGAAACCAGAGGTTTCTGTGGAAAAATAGGGCTCTCCACATCTGATCAGTTTCCAAAGAGCAAATCTCGTCTGTCCTCAGTGTCCGTGGAACCCCCCTCCTCTCCATCACCACTGTCTCTCCCAGATCACAGCACTAGCTGCCATACTGGTCTCCCTGCAGTTTCATCCAACTGATACATCTTCCAAAGGGAAGGTCCCCAGTACCTCCTGATCACATTCCACCTCCTCAAAACCTTCTCCACATTTCCAGAAAGACCTTCCACTGGCTCCCACCATCTATGGCATCATGTCTAGACACTGCAGCAGTATGATGCTCTGGTGTCCACTATGGGGGTTGGACTGGAGAGGGACTGTTACAAGAGACTGTCATTCAAGCCAGTCAGTTAACCTAAGGAAGAAGAGTGATCCCTAGGTACAAAGAACTCTGGGACTGCCCCTGCCCCTGTGGTCAAGGAGGCATGGGCTCTTATGGTCTGTCAGAGCCCCCAGCGTGGAGACCCTTTAGTGTGGGTCTGGATTTGCATTTCACTCTAAGAGAGCATTGAATTTCTCCATGCCTCAAAATACCAGTCTGTGGAGGGGGGCTGGGTATCAGGGTCAGAAGGCATTGGCATGAGCATAGGGACTGGTGGTGGTCAGAGGGCTTCGCAGACTCTGGAGGGAACTCCACAGTTGGCAGAGAGAATGGAGACAGTCAGGCAGAAGGGAATACATTAGGGCCAATAGAGTACTCACCATTGCCAGGCAATCGTGAGGATGGTGGTTGTGATCAGAGACTAGCAATGTGTGTTCGCTGTGTGCCAGGCATTATTCCACACACTTACATTCACTGTCTCATTTAATTTCCTCAACAATCCTATGAGGTAAGCACTAATATCCCCATTTTATAGATAAAGAAATGGAGGCTCAGAGAAGTCAAGGACCTGCCCAAGTCACACAGCTGGGGTGTAGTGGAGCTGGGCAGGGGGTTAACTTTGAACTTAGAGATTTGCACAGGTGGAGTGTCTGACTCCAGAGCCCACACTATCACTCCACTCCCCAACAGCTACGAAGTGAGCTAAGAAGTGAAGACCTGGTCAGATGCCAGGTCTGCAGGAAGGCACATGTCCAATCTGTCTCCAGCCCTCCCTCACCCCTACACTCACCTTTCTGCCTCAGGCCAAGGCAGCCTTGGGTTCAGCACCACAGACAGCCCCCCTCCTTTGACCCAAGTGGCCGTCAGTCTCTTTAGCTTGCTGCAACTGTTGTTTGGAGTACTATTTTCGTACCATTTTAGGCTGCCTGAGCTACAGGAAGCCTCTGGTTCAACCCCCTTACTGTGTAAATGGGAAAGTGAGGCTTTGGGGAAAATTGGGCAAGCCACACTATTCTAGGAACAAGGGATATAACAGCAAACAAAACCAATAAAAATCCTGTCCTCATGGAACTGACATTCTCGCAGGATTCCAGGGTCCTGCTAAGTCTATCCTATCCCCTGCCTTCAGAACGCTTATCAAGTTTCCCTGACCATCAAATTCTCCCTGACCATCTGGTCTTCTGGGCACTGCCTTTTCCAAGGAGCCTTTCCTGCTTGACCACCCCCGTCTGTCTCATCTCTTCCTCCTCTGAACATGCACAGGGCCTGAAGACTAAACGGTTTGAGTGGCTACACTGTTTCTTCTTGTCAGGAGTTGCCAGTAATTCCTGGCTTCAGGTTGAAGGTTTGTGTTTCCACCCAGGAAGCAGGGATCACATCTCCCTTTCCTCTCCTCCTACCTCATGGCACTAGCACAGATTAAGCATGCAGCACAGACACTCCAAGAGATTGGTTCTGATGATGGAGACACTGCAACCTTTTCATGGCATATTTCCCAATGGGTCCTGGTTCTTAAATTCATCATTCATTCATTCGTTCATTCATTCAAGTGAAGAGAAGATCAGGACTAATGGAAAAGATCTGGGAGATATCCACTAACAGGAAAAAGTTCCAGCTGGGTAATGGATGTGATCCTCCAGGGAGAAGAGGGAAGGCAGACATGGGGAAGGGGTCTGAGGACATGACAGAACCTTGGGGTAAAACCAACCTATGGGAAGTGGGCAGGAGAAAGGGAGACAGCAGAAGCTATCAGAGGGGAGGAAGAAACTCACAGAGAACTGAATCCTGGAAGCCAGGGGGAAGGAACTTTCATGAAGGGAATGCACTATGGCGGCACATGCCAGAAAGTTCAAGGCCTGCAAAGAAGCCATGGGCAGCCATGGTAAGTAGGACACTGGTGGCCGTGGCCTGAGCAGGTCATGGGAGTTATGGGGGCAGAAGCCAGGTCTGCATGGCTTATAGAAAGGGAGACTATAAGTGCTGCACACTCTCTACAGAAATTTGGTTGAGAAAAGAAAGAAAAATGTGGGCTGGTAGCTGGAGGAGAAAGCGGGGTTGAGGGAGGACTGTCCTTTTTAGGACAGGAATTAGGTTAAGAGGAAGGAGCTGGGGAGGGAAGACCTGTAGGCTTGAGCTGGAGGGTGGTTCTCATAGAAGGGGGCGGGGGGGGGCTAGAGAAGGTGGCATAGGGAGAATCCAGAGAAGGCCGCTCACCCTCACTCACTCTTGGATGGAGGAGGAAAGAGTGGCGATTTTCCAGAGAAGCTTTTGGGCTGTTTGAGGGGGTGCAGATAAGAAGGCCAGGACCTCCTCTGTTTGTAGGTGGCCTGGGCAGCAGCAGACAGAATCTGGTTGTTAGGAGGTTTGAGAAGGGAAGAGAAAGGCTGACCCTGCTCTTGTGGGGAACTGACTCAGGCCTCAAGGAGGGAGATAGTGTAGGAGTTGCTGAGGGCTGCTGTGAGCTCTGGGAGCCTGAAGAGGAGTTGGTGGTGGCCAACTTTGGGCCCTCACCTCAGGTCCAGAGGAAGGAGAGATCAGACAGGTTGAACCTGGCTTGTGAGATCACCCATGAGCCTCCCCCACAAGCCTGGGGCTGTCTCCGACTCTGCTTGTCTCCTACCCTGGCCAGAGAGACAAGGTGTAAGTGGGGCAAGTGGGAATGCACACGCTGACAGCCCCGGCAGTGAAGAAAGTCTGCAGAAAGGACTAGTCTCACACCCGAGGAAGTGACCAGCAGTGTTTACCCTGGCCTCTCATCCAGGCTCAGTTTCACTCCCAACCAGAGAAGCATGGGCTGTTGGTGCTGGGTGGGAAACTGAGGGTTAGCAAGGGGAAGGCCCATCTGACTAGATTCAGGAATACTCCCTGAGCACACACTGCCTGCCAGGCATGGAGCTCGGCCAGCCACCCAGCCATGGCTGGACACTCCCACCTACTCATGCAGCCTGTTCATTTTTTTGTGTGGTTTTGAGTAGTTCACAGTTCTCTCTGATCTGAGACAAAATTTACCTCCCTCTAACTTCCCTGTAAGATCCAAAGCCTGCCCAGAGGCCCACAGCACACCAGTGCTCCTCCTGTCCTGTGACAGGCTGCAGAGCTGTGACCTCAGCAGAGCTAACACCCCCTTTGCCTGCCAAGCTTCGGCCACGGTAGCAATGGCATTTGGTGTATGGGTTCTTACTTCCCCCCGAGCACTTGCTTACTCTGGAGCCCATTTTGCAGGTGGTAATAACAGGCACAGAGGGGCTTGTCTGAGGTCACACTCTCAGCCAGTGACAATGTTGGGGTCAGAACATTTCTGAATTTTCCTAATTTTCAGCCTAGGATTCGCTGAGTTGAGATCTGGCCTGCCTTCTCCACCCCTCCTATTACTGAGACATAGATAGGGGTGGGCAGGGGGAGGCCCTTGGTGATGTCTTATCTTATGCCCTGAACCAGGCCAGAGTTTCCAGTGGGCAGGGCCTATACCCTCGCCTCCTCTCCCCCCACCACCCTTCCCCAACTCCCTGAAGGAGCCCCTGGACAGGCCCCTCTAGTACCCAGCTGCTGTCTGAGCCCACAGCCCCTCCCCCTGCCCCCACACAGGTGGGCACTCACATGTGGCCCCCAGGCCGGTCCTCCCTGGTGAGCACTCCCTCCTTCTCCATCAGCATCTGCCGGAATGTCCCAACTTTCTGCCGGATCTCCTCCTCCGAGTACCTGAGGTGACAAGGCAGGGTGAGGGCTACTCTCCTGGCTGCAGTTAGCTCCCACTGCCCCAGCCCCCAGCCCTGGCTCACAAGCACACAGCCCAGCTTGGAATAACTTGTTCGAGGTCGCAGAGCCTAGCCAGGCCCTCAGCGCTGAGAAGCTCCAGGGTTCTGTTTTGCACCAATGCAGCCAACCGGCCAACTAAACAAACATAACCAGCCAAACAAGTAAACAAAAGGAAGAGTTGTTCCCAGAGGTGGGGAGAGATGACCCTGGTGAGGCTGAGTCCCTCGTCCATGCCCTTCTCGTCCCCAGGGTCGGCCTCCTTCCCACGTCCAGGCTGCAGTCACACCATTGAGACATTGCAGGGAGAAGGGAGAATCCTGGCTTTGATACACACGTGGCCTTTTCTGCTTTCCTGGCCTCATGACATCTGATCCTCACAGCAGCCTTGGGAGGTCCTCAAAGCCTCCCCACCTCTGCAAGATCAAGGCTGCCCAGTGGCTTGTCTGGGGGCCCAGTGGTAGATCTGCTGCTTCCGTCTGTGCTGGCTTGGGGTGGGGGGTGGCTGAAGTCTGGGCCTCGAATGGAAGCTCCTTACTTCTCCACCCCTCCCTCCCTCCTTCCCTGGGCCCAGTCTCAGGCTAGGGATCAAAGTCTGGCATTACCTACCCCTGATCCCTGCTCCCTGCTCCCACACCCGGGGTCACTCATCACCCTCTCTCACTGCACCCTTGTGGCAGCACCTGCCCCGCCTCCTAGTCCCTTTGGTGTCTCCCCTTCCAGCCTGTCCTCACGCTGCCCCTCGAGGGTCTTTGTTTATGCTGTGCCTTGCCCTGTGCTTGCCATGTAGCAGGTGTCCACTGGCTGTTACAGAATGAGTCTTGGGTCCCAGACCCCTCCCTGGGCTATGGGTCATTAGGCTGTGCAGAAGACATGGTGGCAGAATAGAACTGGGGGTTCTATCTTGTTTCTGTCATCTGCTCGTCCTCCATTATCTGTCCCCATGGCAGGCCCGGCCCTCCCCACTCTGCCTGTCCATGAAAATGGCACATTGTTCCCTCTCAGGGATCCCATCTCTTTTCTCCCTCCTCTCCTCCACTCCTTTGACAAACATTTGCAGGAAAGCAATTTGGCAGTTCTCTTCCAAAGCCTTAAAAAAACGAACACATCCTTTGACTCATAAATTAACTTCCAGGTTTACCCAGTGGCAATAATCATGGCTAAGCACAAAGATTTGACTCAATGGATGTTTACCGCAGGACAGATACTGCCCCCCTCCTTCAGTGCCAGCATTTGCGTTTCCATAGCAACCTGTGCTTCCAGATCCTGGCAGGTGGTTCATGCTCTAGTAATTGTCTGTTGACTTGTCTGTATCCTGCACTGGCCAGGAGTTCCCTGAGGGCAGGGGCTTGTCTGTCTGGTTCACCATGGTGGCCCCAGCATCTGGCATCATGCCTGCCACATTGTGGCATCCCAAAATTTTTGATAAATGAGTGACTGGGGATGGAGAGACATTGGAGAGTTTCGAAGCTGGATTTTTACTTAGGAAAGAAGGCTCCAGTGGCTGTGTGGCTGGAGGCAGGGGGGCCGGCATTGGGCTACTGTAGGCGTGTGGGCAGGAGAGGGGGAGGTCAGAGTGAGAGAGTGGTCCTGAGGATGGAGAAGAAGAAATGGATGAAAAGCCATCTAGGAAGCAGAATAGCTGAGACTTGGGGACCAATTGAACAGGCTGGGGGGGGGGCTGGATGAGGAGCACCAAGTACTTCTTAAGCAGGTGTCCCCTGACCCCCAGAGAGGGTCTGGCTCCTGTGTAGTCCACCATGGGGAGGGCTGGGTCCTGGCCTGGTGGGGGTGGGGGGATTTTCTTCCGATCCCTATGTGGCTCAGGGCACCCTGTGCTGACGCCTTTAACCCAGCATCACCAAGCTCTGGGCCCTGGCCCGTCAGCGACCGCTTCAGTCTCTGATGAGCCTCAGGCTCAGGCATTCAGCCTGGCAGTCCTTTGGCCTGGCTTGCTCTTTGGGCAGTGCAAAGCCCGGTGCCCAGGAATAATGGGTGGTGGCCCTTCTCTGAGCAGCAGAGACACAGAGCAGCTGCTCTGACCTCAACTTCTCAGGAGACTGGCTTGTCATTGTCACCAGCACAGAGACAAGCACAGCACTGGCCCTTCAACACTGTCCAGCCCCTGACTCATAGACCCCTGGGAAGGAGAGAGACTGGCTGAGCCATGGGGACAGGGCCCTGGGCCAGGGGGGGCTTGGAGGACATGGCTCAAGGGTGAGCTGCTTGGGAGGTGCTTCAAGCCAGTTCTACAGACCCTGTGCCTGGACCCAGCACTGGCCCAGTAGGTCCAGGGCAAGCTGACCAACTCCAGCACCTGCCTGCTGGGGGCGGGGGTGCTGGACTGAGCCAACTCAGAGCTCAGGGAGGCTCCCTCTGTGCCCCAGGGTATCTTGCTGGGAGAAGCTGGGGACTCAGGGATGACATCTGGCTATTGGGCACAGAGGTCTCAAGTGTAACCACCACCTCTAAGTCTCTCCTGCCCTCATATGTCTCGGGGTCAATCATCTCAGCTGAGGCCATGTGGGACAGTGACTAAGGGGAGAGGCAGAAGAGCTAGGCAGTTCTGTGTTTGAATCCTGGCAGCCACCACTTCCTAGCTCTGGTGCCCACAGCTTCCTGGTTCAGATGCTCCCCTCACCAGTCTGGCTCCACCAGTCCCCCTTCTACTCTACGGGCCAAGCGGGAGGGACGTGCCAAATTCACTGTGGCTTTGGGGACTTCCTGGGTCACTCGCTAGGGCGGAGGCGGGGTGAGGGGGTCCACCTTGCCCATGTTTGAAGAGATCCCCAGAGTGGGAAATGTTTAATTTTGCCTGTCCTTGCCCAGACCCAGCACTTCCTAGAGCACGGCTTTTTCCACCATGGCTCTGGGAGGGTGGTGGCCCTATTCCCATTTTACAGATGAGCGAGCAGAATAAGGGGAGGGGAGGGCTTAATGCTCCAAGCCCAGCTAAGGGCAGAGCCGCACTCTGTCCCCTCACCCGTGTCCTCACAAGAAGATGGGCCGGGTGGGTGGGGGGTGCTGGGGGCCGTCCCATCATGAAGGCTGGGGCTCTGTCCCTGCCCCCCTGCCCCATGATTGCAGGCTATGTGCAGAGGCTGCCTGGGAAGGTGACTCACATGTGGCATCCGTCACTGGTGAATTAGTCAGCCAGCCATCAATATTAAGAAAAGGGATTGCTTCCTAATGGGGCCACAGAATGTGTGTTCCCGTGGCTGGTGCGAATATCTGTTAAATGCCTGAGCACCTGGTAAGTAAACGTGAACAAACCAGAGTTTCTAGAAATGGATATTAGTGACTAGATTTTATAAAAGAGCAAGGCCCCTGGTGCTTATTGAGCACTTTGTGGGGACTGGCTGGGGGCTGGACAGTCCTGTTTGTGCCTTAGTCCATGGGACCCTCAAAACAACTCCAGAAGACACGTGTCCCCATTTTACAGTGAGTAAACAGTGGCTTGCCGAAGAGTGGCTGTGCGTCCACTGAGCAGACTTTTGCCAAAGGATGGGAGTGTGGGGGACAGTGACTCGAGGGCTAGCTTTTGGGGGGACTCCAGTCTAAGGACCACCTCAAGTGAGGGCTTGGGTGGGAGAAGGGACGCTGACTGAACACCTGGGGACCCAGTGGGTGCTTCCCAGAGAGGCAGGGGTCCTTGATGCTGGGGGTCTAACACCAAGGACATGGCCAGATGCCATCACCCTCTGCTTGGGGAGGGGGAGGTGCTGAGTGAGGGAGGGGCCGTGGGGCTCAGTGAAAGGATGGGGTTCTGCATGAGAACAGGAGGGCTCTCAGGATGGGAAGGTGCAGTGAAGAGGAGGAGACTTTAGTGAGGGGAGAGGGGCTCAGGAAAGGGATGGGCTCTGGGAGGGGAAGGGGCAGTGAAGTACAGAAGTCTGGCCCTTGTCTGCCCTGCCAACCCTCTTGTTCCTGCCCACAACCACCTGCCCACACTGCCCTCACTCCTCGAGTCTCCCAACTCTGCAGAATTTGCAGGTTTAATCAGGGTCCTGGGGTTCTCTCTGCAGAGGGAGTCTCCACACCCCACCCCTCCTCAGCCGTGCCCCTTGGGATCTCGTTTCCTCTTCCCACACCCCTAGCCCCAGCTCACTAAATGTGTTTTCATTGCCAGTGGGCAGCCTCCTTTCTGTCTTCAGCATCCTCCCTTCTATCCATCCCTCTCCTCAGGTAGCCTCCTCTCCCCTACCTGGTCCCCAGATGGAGGTGAGCACCAGGTCCCTGTGTCCCTTTCTCTCCCTACAAGCAGCCCGGCCTGGCAGCCAGGGAGGACTCTGGATCCAGGCTCAGCCTTGGCTCTGCCTTCCTGATGGCCTTCAGCAAGTGTCTGTCTCCATCTGAGCCTCGGTGTCTTCCTGATCTCTACAGAGATGGTGGTCCATGTCCTGGCTGCCTCTTGGGGAGCTCAGGAGGCATGGGTAGACAGACAAGGGTGTTGTTTGGGAGGACTGCCGTGCATAGGCTGTGTCAGCCCCCACGTGGCTCCAGGTCCTAATCCCATGCACAGGGAATTTCTGATTTCTTAGCTCACGGACAGTGCAGGTCTGACGGACAGGTCCTGCTCCCTCAGCAGCCAGCCTACTAGTTTCAAAGAACTCTAGGAAGATGCAAAAAGGAGTCTTGAGACCTACCAGCCTTTGTTGGAGCTGCACAGATGGGGATGGCTTTGTTCTCTGTTTCTTTACCTCAGGCTCCATGTGTAAGCGCTGTCTCATCTCCCCTAAACTTGGGGAAGGGGTTCCCTAAACCCTTACTGACCGATGGATGTACTGAGTGGTTGGGGATCTCCCACACCTCCTCCTTCTCAGTCTGTCAAACTCCTACTCATCCTTCAGGGCCCAGTCAAACGTCATCTTCTCTAGCAGCCTTCCCTCTGCCTTATAATCTCTCCTCTGAGCTCCTAAAGCACTTGGTCCTCTCCTGTCCTGTCCTATAAACATGATTCTGACCTGTTGCGTGGCAGAGTTGGTTGTTATCGTGCTTGTTTCTGTTCTCAGATGGTAGGGTGGGGGTGATTTTTGAGTACAGGAAGCAACATCAGCAGGGCTCTGGGGCCCAGAATTGCCCAGGACAGTGCCTGGTTCTCTGAACTAGACAAGGCGGAACCTGAGCTTATGAGTGTGGCAGCCAGTGATCCCTTTGCTGAAACCACAGGCAGCCCTCACACATAGTAAGGGCCCATTGAGATTTCTTGCCTGGGTTCAGTACTGGCTCAATCCATCCATTTTATAGACGGGGAAACTGAGGACTTGAGATAGCATTGATGTTTATACTCCTCTCTCCCCTACTGGACTGGATGTTTCTGGAGGGCAGGGACTGTGTCTCCTTGGCTTCTGTGAATTGGAGCCCATTTCAGAGCTTGACACAGAGCAGGCATCCAAAGACAGCTTATTGGTTGAAAAACCTAATAAATGAATGAAAGGTGGAATGGGCTTGCACTGATTCCACCCGGACTGGTGCAGACTCTGGCCCTCGCACCCCGCCCGACGGCCGGCTCACCCCTGCTCCTCCATCATCTCCTGCAGCTCCATGCACTTGAGCTCCACGCGCCGCTTGCGCTCGTGGTCCAGGATCTCCCGGTGCGCGCGCTTGGCCAGGCCTGGCTCTGATGCGCGCAGCTCGTCCTCGGCGCGCGGCCAGGCCCCCGAGGAGGCGCCGGGCTGTGGGAAGCCATTAGCAGCATCGGGCGGGGACGGCACGCTGGCTGCCCCGTTGTTCACGGTGGAGGACATGGTGGCCAGCCCTGCGGGATAGACACAGACATGAGGCGGGATGGCCACTTCTTGGCCACCTGCTAAGCTCTTCTCGGCGCGAGTTAATCCTGGAGACTTAAGGGCCCACTCATGGCTCTAATCCGCTTCCCCTCAGGCTGCAGAGGGGGGCAGGTCTGCACCTGTGGGTCATACCTCGGGGCATGAAGGGATTGGACAACGGGCTTTCCCCATCTGTGAGGTGGGTGGATGCAGGTCGTACTAGATTGCCTCTAAGGACTGTTGGCTTGGAATTGTATCATCTCCAGGGACCTAGCAATGACCTAGGACAACCCTCTCTGCCTTGCATGAGGCCTGGGCCCAGACAACCCAGCCCCAGCCCACACACCTCACCAACTCCGCAGTCAACCAGGGTGGTCTCTGCAAATCTCTGCTAGTTTTATTCTTGTTTTTCCTTCAGGCTCAGTATAAACAGTTCACACACACACCAGGCCCATTGTCCTGACTCTTTCCAGTGCGGCCACAGACTACATGTGTTCCTACCTCCCAGTCTTCTCTCAGGGCAGCCCCGCAGAGATGGGAAGGTGGGGCCTTTTTCAAGTTCAACTCCATTTCCACCCTTGACACAGTTTTCAGTTCCCACTTTGACCTGGCTGACTTCCCCAAAACTGACATTCCACGTGGGGGTCTCACCTTGATTGAGGCCCTCAGGACTGTCCCCTTTTTTTGTTTTGGAAACACTGCTTCTGATGATGTGACTAAAGGTGACATTGACATTAGCTTTCCAGGCAGCTGTGTCCTGTAGGCTCAGGGTGTGGTGGGAGTCAGCATGGCTTGGAGGTAAGAAGCCCTGGCTCTATTCTAGGCCTGAAGTAGAGCAGACAGACAGACACAGACACACCATAAGGACTTCTATCTTAACAGAGGAGAGGCACCTCCTGAGCTATTTCCATTTCCTTTCTCTAAGGCTCTGCTAGTTGCTAAGCAACAGGGAGGCCTCATTCCCAGGGAGTGGGATGGGAGGGAAGGAAGGGGAGAAGGCAGGTCGGAAGAGATGAAGGGGCTGGACGTGCCTGGACATCCTGGATGGGCCTTCCCTGCAGCACTCCCCCCAACACACCTGCCCCTCACTGGCCTCAGAGTGATGGGGGGGGGGGGGTATTCAGAGCCACACAGACTAGAAAGCAGAGGAGAGGGACTGTGAGTAGCACAGGGGTCTCTGAAGTGGACAGAGTGACAGGAAGCGACAGTGGTGATGATATGTCCTACCCCTGAGTCCCAAGTCCCTGGGTTCTAGGCCGGGCTCCTCCACTCCTAGCCATGTGACCCTGAGGATGTCACTCCTGCTCTCTGAGCCTGTGACCCCCACCTGTGCCTGGGAGCATCATCCAGACTCCTCAGGAGGGGGAAGTTCCAGGGACTTACAGACAGACCAAAGCCTTCTCTCTCCACCCCCAAATCCTGCCGACTTTCCACCCCTATCCCCAGACCAGCACTGTATCCCAGTTCCACCAGGGCTTCTCCTGGGATGCTCTGCAAGTATTGCCCACTCACCAAGCCCCAAACAGAGCTCTGGGAGACCCGCTCCCCACCTGCCTTGGCCACAGTGCTTGGCTCGTGGGCGACCCCTCCTTCAGCTGGTCACCTGAGCCAGGGACATGTGTATAGCTTGAAGACCCCCATCACCCTGGCCCACTGCAGCTCACCTGCCGTCAAGCTCGGTCCCTCATCCCCTCAACATCACTCACATTTATCTGCTTCCCTCCTCCCCTGTTACTGTCTTAATCTGAACCCCTCTGGTCCACTGCCTCAGTGTGCTGCCTGGCCTCCCAGCCCTCAGACCTCAGACAATCCACCTGGCAGATTGTCCAGGAGCAATCAGAGCATGTCATGTCCTGGTTAACAGCCTCCAGTGACTTCCTGTCACCTTGGCTTAAAGCCATGAAGTGGACCTGCTTCTGGTCCAGCCTCATCCTCACCCCTCCCCACCACACACATTCTCCTGCTCCCCTGCCTCCAGGCCTTTCCATTTGCTGATTCCTCTCCTGAGATACTTCACCTGACTCCTAGGTGTCCTCAGCGTCAGCACTCATAGGCATCCTCACCTTCCGGAAGCCTTCCCTGACCCCTCTGGCTGGGTACCATCCTTCCAGAGCTCTTGCCACTTTCTATTGTCACTTCAGGTTCACAGGTCTGGCTCCCGCTGGACTGAGGGCAGGATGGCTTTCGACTCCTAGTGCCAGCCAAGTGCCTAACATGTGTGGAGCTCCACACACACAGGTTGAACAAAGACCATGGAAGAGGAATACACGTCACAGTCCTTAACAAGGCCTGCAAGGCCCTTCACGTTCGGCCTCATGTATCTCGCAACTTCCTGCCTTACCGCGTCCCTCCTGCAACCAACGTCCAGCCCCTCAGCCTCGGCCGTCCTCCCCAAACACACACTCTCTCTTCCTCCTTCGTGCCTTTACCCATGTGGGGCGCCTTGGCTGAAATTCTGTTTGCCCTCTTCTCCACCTAGGGAATGTCAGCCCATCCAATGGCCCAGCCCAATAGTCACCTCCTCTGGGAAGTCTTCCTCTCTTCCAGGAAGGATGTCGTTCCCTTCTCATGCTCCCATGGCTTTTGTCCACACTTTTTGATATGACATTTAGATACTGAGGTTCAGTTTGTTTGTGTGTGACTCCCATCTAGACGGTGAGCCCTGTGAGGGGATGGAATCCTCCTCTCATTCCTGCTTGGCTCCTTGGAGCCTGCCCAGCACCAGGCAACACAGGGGCTGCTCTGAGGTGTGGGGGAAAGTGCTATGGCTCTGTTGAGAGCCCTTGGAGCCAGGCGCCGAGCAATGCTGCTCTGACATCTTCCCTCTAACCCGGGTGAGGCTCCCAGCCTAGAACTTGGCCTGAGCTCCTGGAGGGCAGCGAGGGAAAGCCAGTGGGAGTAGTTCTGAATGTACTCAGACTTCCAAACCTCGAGAAATTCTGTCCCCAGCGCTAGGAGAATGCCTGGGCGACATTGCTAGGTTGCTGAGGGTGATGTTCGCAGACGTGACTGAGGAGGGAAAGAGAGTGGTGTAGACAGGGGAGGATAGATGCAGTCTGGATTTTCACTAGGACGGATTGTAGAGTCTACCGATTCCACCTGGTGAGTTGGGTGGTTCCAGGTGGGAATATGAGGCAGGCCATTAAAAGGATGACCCTTGACCTCCTAGAGGAGGAGCTGAGACCCTAAGAATGAGCCTGGCATACTAAGTCCACTTCCTTCCAAGTCGGGGTTGCTGGGCCAGCGAATATGAGGCAGGCCATTAAAAGGATGACCCTTGACCTCCTAGAGGAGGAGCTGAGCCCCTAAGAATGAGCCTGGCATACTAAGTCCACTTCCTTCCAAGTCGGGGTTGCTGGGCCAGCAGATTAAGGGGTTACTGCAGGCACAGGGTCTCTCTGTGAGTCATCCGACATTATCTTTTATGAAATCATTATGAGATTTCATAGGAAGGAGACATTGTGCTGGTGAGTGCTAATATTCTGTGCTGTTATAATTGACTGATTGACCTATATTCAAAAGGAGCTGATTAATGGATGAATGTTGTATTAGATGCATGTATTTATAGTGGAAGATCACCGGGCTCTGTCCTCACCCATGTCTGATCCAATATATTCACTATTGACTGGATGGAACATCGACAGCCTGATGACCAGATTCATTAAGGGCACACCCGAGAGGGCTCATAAATAGAGTCAGGATGTAAACAGACTCAACAGATGGGAGAAAAAAGGAAAGATGGAAAGAATCTTAGAAGATGACACAGGATAGTAAGAAATGCCACATTCTGAAGCCAGGTCCTAAACTCACTTTCTAAGATTGGAATGGGGTAGACATAGTTCAGAAGCAGCATATTTAGGAAAGATTTAGGGATTTTCAATGATCACAGACTCAATTTAAGTCAATATAATGATGTAGCTGCCCAAAGTGCCTGTTACCTTAGGCTACATCAAAAAAAAAAAAAATGATGCCTAGAAGGGGGAGACTATAAGAATATACAGGGGGTCAGAATCCCTATCTTCAAATATTTGAAGGATTGTAGAGGATTTAGGTCAAACCTGGCCGGATCTGCTGAAAAGCTTGTTAGAAGTGGAGATCTCTAGCTAGGCTTGCCAGATTTGACAAGTAAAAATTCAAGATGCCCAGTTAAACTAAACTTGAATTTCATATCTGGGACATACTTCTACTAGAAAATTATTTGTTGTTTATCTGAAATTCAAACTTAATTGGGTGTTCTATATTTTAAATGTCAGTCCAACCTGGGACCCACCCCAGCCCTACTGAATCAAAATCATTGAGGGTGAGATTGTTAATGTTCCCCAGGTGATTCTGATACAGCCCATCTCTGGACCAGCAATTGAGGTGTGGTGGTCTGGAGCAGCAGTTCTCAAATTTTATTGGGCATTATTAGAATCACCTGGAGGGCTTGTTCAAACACAGATTGCTGTGTTCTCCCAGAGTTTCCGATTCAGTAGATCTGGGGTGGGGCCTGAGAAAGTGCGTTTCTAGCGCTCTCCCAAGTGACATCAATGCTGTTGGTCCTTGGACCACACTAAGAGGAGCAAAGCCCTAGCCAATCTGGGTGGCTCTAGAAGACAAAGCCAGGACTCCTACAGGGAGGTCATCTACAGTTGACTTCAGCTCAGCCCAAGAAAGGGTTTTTTGTTTTGTTTTATAACAATCAAAGCTCTTTAAAAACCAAGCTGTTCATCCCAGGATGAGTGAGTTCCCTATTACAGGAGCTATTCAAACAGGAGCTAGATCTGCCAGCCACTGGAGTGCATTGATACAAGGAGAGTCACCAGCAGAGACCAAAGAAAAGAAGAGGATGTCTCTCTCCACAAAGCCCATTCCAGAGTGACAGAAGAAGCATCTGCTCTACAATAATATTGGGGGACCTGAACACACCTCTCAGCATTGGACAGATCATCTAGGCAACAAATCAACAGAATAACCATTACTCTTTCAGAGGGAGAGAA